CCCCCGATCCGCCGTTTGACATGTATGAGCCATGGGGCAGGAAAATGCCTCCAGCTTCATTATCACTCAAGGAAATCACTTCTTTTGGTACTGTTCACATACCGGGTACTTAAGAGCCACCGTACGAAGGACCCAGTTTTTAGAGATTACTGACCACTCCCACTCTCCCATTCTTGAAAAACATCGTCTCCACCAGATCAGATTATGCACATGTGCCAATAATTCATCTGACACCCAAGGTCGGCCGTAAAATGCAGCGCCGTCCAACCTCAAGGGAAGCGAAGCCCAGCCGATAAGATTACACTTCCGAATTCCTCGCGAAGAAGCCGGGTCGCGCCTCCCCGTCACGTCGCCCTCCCTCGCCTCTCCCTCCGACCATCCAGGTTAGGCCTCTCCTGACTTCCTCCTTGTCCGAACTGAATCACTCTACTCATGGATTTTCGAACAGTTGTAAAAGTGTTTCGAGTTCCTGAGGAAACTTTTAGATATGTAACACGCAAATTTTTGAAATGGCGGGGCCCTTAAAAGCTGAGACGAAGCAGCTAAAGTCAAGAAAAGCTAATCTATTTTACACTGCAATATTACGCGGTTAACTGAATCACCTAACTATGAAGGAGAGGTCGTAGGAAGGTGAGAGTGGTCTCATATTAATTGTCACGGTCTGTTGACTTGCACAAAAATATGACATGTCAATTTACTAATTAATTAAAAAAGTTAAGTAGTTTTTTCTTCCCGATGCTACTTCTTTAGTGCTCTCTCTTGGATCGGAATGCGCAGTCTCTTGGATCTCAACGACGCCCTTTACATCTGATTACTAATGGAATTTCTCTTACTGCTAATTAAAAGTTAACCCCGAGGGAAAGACTTCCGAAATGGACCACGCGTCGAATGGTACATGTGATATGTCGATCGCAAGCTTTTGGTGAGTAGATTGCGTTGGTGCATATTTTATCTGAGAATAATGAAAAAGAAGTAGTAATTTTAATGCTAAGAAGTGTAGGTTGTAGGCTAGGCTAGCATGAAGTGGCGTGCAACGTGGGGGAGAGAGCGCCCGTTTTCGTTGAAACAGAAAGCCTTATGTCCTGTATTCCCCCAAAGAATAATTGAATCACCTGGATGCTAGACACGCGGCCTGTTTCACTAATGCTTTTGGTTTTTCACTGTAAGCCCAAACTAACCACAGATAAGACAGGATAAACACAGATCAAACCACCCACAGTCTCTCTACGTTTGACCGAAAAAGGGAGAAAGTGAACCTAATTTGAGGTACGATGAGTCAGTAGGGTAGAAAAGAATCGCGGCCGAAGGCCACAACCCTTACCTAATCCTAACCTTACCATTTCTTCTGTCTGGAATTTCAAACTGGCCTCAATGTCCTCAACTCTCCTATCTGCCTTCCCTCCCACTTTTCTTTCATCTCCTAAACATCTGCTTCTAGTTTTTTCACCTTTTCAACCCTTTCTTCAAGCATCCGCAGGCTCTCTGACACCGATGTCAGCTGCACAGAGTTCTCGCTTACTTTACTCCGGATCTCTAGTAGAAGTTCGCGATGTTCAACAGGACTAACCTCTGATCTTGTGTTAGCTGGGTCATTTCAGGCGGTGGATAACGACGACCTGGATCTTACTGCAGTAAAGTGCAGAAATAAGATAATCATCATGTCGGTATACATGAATCCCGGAGGAAACAAGGACTCCGCAGTCGAGACAATCGGTGACCTTGTCAACCGGTTTTCAGACACATACGCTCTCTTCATAGCAGGAGATATGAATCGAGCATCGTTCATCCCTATTCAACTCAAAGGCATTCTTGAAAATGTGGTCTCATTCGCAACCCGAGGAGATTCGAATCTCGACCAAGTTTGGACAAATGCTAGGAATATGAAGTAAAAAAAACTCGCTCAGTTCTCAGACCACTCGGCTCTCTTGATATATCCTCATTTCCTCTTCCGATATTCGAGAGATATGCTGGAAAAGAAATGAAATAAGAAAGCTCGACAAGGACCGATTGCGTTTTGAGCTAGATGTCACAGACTGGGACGTTCTACTCGAGTCGGAAGATCCTGATTTTCACCCCCGAGTTTCGCAGACAAACCCGAAAGAGAGGCCAGACGAGGCCCGGTCTCGATGGCCGCAAGCGAAGGACTCATCGGCCTGGTAAATGTTGAAGGAAATTCTTAAATATTGGACATGTCATTCCGAGATTTCTTGATGGCACAGACAGAAATACTAATTTTCCCTCAATCCGCCTTGAAAATTACTTTCACGTGACACCTCACCTAACCCCAGAAAACAACCAAATCGAAATTCTGAATACCGTCTCATCCATTCTCCGGAAGGAATAGCGGAACCCACGAGAATTCTATCGATGCGATTAATCGTTTCTGTCGTGTCCAATTCGCATCTTGATGAGACGAAAACTAGACTTCTCGCAAGAATGCACGATGATACGCTTCACGCTCCAACATATCAAAAGAGAGAAACCTGGCGCAATTAGTTTTTTTGCATGGTAAATTAAGAATTGTAATTGGTAAAGAAGCCTCAGCCAAGAGCTGGTTATATTTATATACATCATCACAATCTTGCATGTGACATTCTGAGTATAAATTACAATTGGAATAGGCAAACAGTGAAGCACGTGTTCAGTAACCAAATAGAAGTTACTTTTCTGCTACTGCAGATTCGCATTCGGTGAATGTAAGTTACAGTTACGTCAACTACCCGCTTATGTTCTTATCGTTATTTTTACGAGACCAAAATGAATAATTACTGTTCCGTTACTGGTACGATTACGTTCTGTTACCTAGCCCTTGCTTCACGAAAAACAGCGAGTCATTTTTTATGTATATTTAACATAATAATTTGTTTAATGAGGCCGAAATCTAGACGTCGAGCCAGGTAGCTCGCGACAGTCGAAATATCCTGCAACACATTAAAATACACATTTTTCTCTCGCAGCAGGTCCTCTCCCGAGTGCGCATCGTAAGCATTTTCGAATCGAAAAATCCGTGATCATGCCGATCGACCTGTACTACGTGTTGCCGAGTCCCCCGTGCCGAAGCGTGATGCTTCTGGCCAAGGATCTGGGCGTGGAACTCAACTTGAAGCCCACCAGCCCCATGTCTGGTGCCACTCGCACTCCGGAGTTCCTCAAGGTACTTTCCTCCATGTGAAGATGGTCTGAGCTCACAGGAACCCAGCAAAAGCTAGCATTCAAAAGTAAAAAAAAAAATGAAATAAAAGTTCATTGTAAAATTCGAAAGTCGTAGACCTAGTCATTTTCGCACCATCAAAATAACAGCGTATCCTATGAATGGAATTCTGTCAATTTCCTTCCTCCTCCAAAGACCATTTTCCTTCGATCATTTCAAATCAACAACACTTTCACCATACCGAAATGATATAATTTTTTTTTTCCCCGAACAGATGAATCCGCAGCATACGATCCCAACGATGAACGACGGAGGATTCTGCCTCTGGGAAAGGTGAGCATCTAACAGAAATCCATTACCCTCCGGGAACAACCGTTCGGAGAGAAAATGTATGGGGATTCTCTAACAGCCGGGCCATCCTGCGTTACTTGAACAAGAAATACTCCAAGACCGACAAGTTGTATCCCAAGGACGCGAAGGGGAGCGGATTGGTGGACCAGAGATTGGACTTTGACATCAGCACCTTCTCGCCTGCTTACCTCGACAGCGTTGTACGGCAATATCAACTCCTGAAGAAGAAAAACAATCTGTCGAAATTGTTGAAACACAGAATAACATCGACGGGAGCTATTAACGCCAAATAGTGGTAAAGTGGGGGAAAATTTACATAGGATCACAGATTAGATTAATCAAACGGCTTTATTGTCATTTTTTATAATATGCGCATTCCTATAGTATTCCATTTGTTCCAAGGACTAGGACAGTCGTACCGGGTCACAACTAGTGTGAAGTATTGCGAAGTATAAGCCTAAAGCAGTAGCAGTGTCAATAGGGATTAATAATGTCAATTAAGATGCCTAGATTGTTTAGACTCGTTCGGTGAGGGGATCGGGTCGGTGGGACTAGTGAGCGAGAGGTATGCACTCGTTTCACTGCTAGACCTCATCGACGAAATGGTGAAGGTGCAGAAAGTAACCTTTCTGGAGAGGAGATTATGTCTGGAGGAGGAGGATGGTCGTATTCAGGGAAGAAACGAAGTCAAGGGAAGCTCGGAGTTAGAGTAATTGTTCAGAGGAATTGAAGGAAGGGATCATGAGGCTGTTGCATTGTGGCCATGAGCGC